TGCACTTAAACGACTTTTTAACTCCAATTAATTATTAAATGAACTGGCAAAATCGTTTTTCTCGTATATATTTTGCAATTTTTTTTGTCTTGGTGTCACACCCCCCTAAACGGTGTCACCCGGTGCAATGCGCACCCCCGCCCCCACTTCGTGACGCCTCTGTACCCAGTGTATGAATTGAAACGGTACTCATGCAATCCGTAAATTTAAAATTATGTTATTTTTTCATTCCCGGCACACAAGGGTCATGAGAGTAGCAAATGTGGTTTAAAGGTTTAAACGTTGTCAATACTCTCTAGTTCCATGATAGATTTTGTTATTATATATTACCTAACAAATACGGCAGAGGCGTAAGCAATACCAGCGCCCACCTCAGAACATTTTTTTTATCGCGTATACGGAGTACAGAGGAAGTATTGTAATTGTGCAAAAAATCTAAATAGAGATTTTAACAAATCTCGACGTTTTACACCTCCCTGATCAAGAAAATCTTAATTTTACAATCCTTTCTGTATGTCTGTGTGTGGGGGTGAGGGGTAGAGGGGCGGGGGGCGTGTGTCTGTGTGTCTGTGTGTCTGTTAACATGATAACTTGAGTATCATCCCATCTAGGTTGACGAAATTTCATATATAAGTGTTATATCAAATTTGTAATTCTGTTTACATTTTTAAACGATTTCCAGTAACCGGAAGTGAAACTTATTCTACTTTTTGTTTTTCAAATTTTCAAAAACCTATATGTAAGTACTGTTAGATACTGATTATTTGCTATTCATTTCGTGTGCAATTATTTTTTCTACGAGATTCTATTCTATTTGTATATGAAACTTAATTTTTTTTATGTTTCTATCCCGACTGTAGAGGCGTAGCGAGGTGGGTGGCGGGGGGGGGGGAGGGGTGCGGACCGCACCGGGTGACACCATTTAGAGGGTTGACACCAAGGCAAAAAATAGCAAAATATATAGAGAAAAATTTGAAGGGGGTGCAAATCGAAAGTTTGAGGGGGGGGGGGGGTACAAATCCAAAATTTGAAAGTTTGTCCCGGGAAGGGTCACTACGCTCAGGAAGGGTGACACCCTACCTCGCTACGCCACTGCCCGACTGTACTGGTGTTGTCACTCCCATTAGTGTTATTTAAGCATATTCGAGAAAGTGCAGGGGAGATCACTCACGCGTTATTAGTAAATAATTATGTAATTATTTTTTTTAATCAAAACGAATTCCAACTGCCATTGAAAGAAATAGTTGTTTAAATTTTCATGTAAATTGGAGATTTGTCTTTTTAAACCCTCACTGCACCCCCTGCTACTAAAACCCAGTAACGCACCTGATGTATGCTTATTTTGCTTGATAGTTTGCTTTCTTTCCTTGTGATGTTAATTTGCAGTAATTCATTTTTGTGGAGTTTTTGTTCGTGTAACAAATTTGGTATGACATTTGTCTGTGACTTTTGACACTATCAAAAGAGTTGTGCTGGGTAGCGTCGTGTTAACAAGTCATTATTTTCATTTTGTGTTTTAGCTTGTAGCCTTAATTTAATTTTTTTACTCAACCCTCCGCTATTTAAACCGCCGCTTGTCTACAGATATTGTTTTGTTAAATTCTTGACCTTTATTCTGGCCCTGACTTCCCACTTAAATGTCAACAGCAGAAAAACTACTCGCTGCCTGAAGTGGAGGCAGGGGGTCAACCTGGTGGTCAAATGGTCAACTACTTCTAGAACACTTGGCTGGTAAACTGCGAACCATCAACAGACATCCGTTGTTCAACCCCCCCCCCCCTCTAGACTGGAGACTAGTGGAAACAGTTTCAAGACGATTTCATGTAAGGTTTGAAGCTCTGGACAATGGAGTAACTGTTGAATGATGACTTCTGTATACGTTTTATCTAAATATAATTGACAATGTTTCATATGTTGTTATAGCCATTGTATTTACCGTCCCAAACAGATTTCAAGAATTTTGTGTGAAAAATGTTTTGTTTTGTTGTACTTGGGATTCGTGTTTATATATATATATATATATATATATATATATATATATATATATATATATATATATATATATATATATATATATATATATATATATATATATATATATATATATATATATATATATAAGCTGACATCACTATTCTCCTCATTGCTGAAACAAATTGAACATCTCTGTCCTAATAAAACAAAGAATGAATACACTATCCAAACCACAGGCGTAGCGAGTGGGGGGGGGGGGGCGGGGGGTGCGGACCGCACCGGGTGACACCTTTTAGGGGGGTGACACCAAGGCAAAATAAAGCAAAATATATAGAGAAAAATGATAAATAGTGTTTTAAGAGGTGTAAATCGAAAGTTTAAGGAGGGGGGGGGTGCAAATCGAAAATTGAAAGTTTGTCCCCGAAAAGTGTGGCTACGTCTCTGGGGGTGACACCATTAAGTACCGCACCGGGTGACACCCGACCTCGCTACGCCACTGATCCAAACTATTTTCTGTCAAAATAAAAATAAAAGCATGTAATTAATGCCCTACTCTAATATGCCACACATTATCAAATCTCTGCCCTACAATATCTAGTCTGTCCTACCATACCCAGTTTCTGACCGAGCGAACACAACGTCCAGTCACTTAATGAGCACTGTATCAACAACCGCCCCCCTCCTCCCTATTGACTGACCCCCGTCAGGTCGAGTTCACCTTGACATTTCTAAGTGTGGTCAAACAGTTGAACCAACGGCCGTCATTGTAGAGCGGAAGTCAAATTCTTGCTCTTCATCCTCCGCCTCTTGTATCGTAATCCGCTCAACTACGGCTGGCGGTGTCTAAAAATAACTTGGGCTTGCTCTGGCCGATGTTATCAGCGCCTAGGATGACCGCCTAGTGTCAAGTTACTGGCAGACCTACGACACACCTTAAAAACATCAACAAGTGGATTGTCTTACAGGGTTAATTGTTTCTTTTCTTACAGCGGGTCTCATTGTTAAAGGGTTAATTGATTCTGTCAACGTGTGGTCTCAGTGTTGAAGGGTTAATTGTTTCACTGTCTACAAGTGGTCTCACTATTAAAGGGGTTATCTGTTTCTCTGTCTACAATTGGTATCAACGTTAAAGGGTTAATTTTTACTTTCTCGCATACAGAGTATTAAAAAAGTATTGTGACCGTGCAAAAAAAAATGAAATTTTTGCAAATCTCGACGTTTTACATCCCCCTGAGTCGGCAAAATATAGTTTTGCAGTCTTGTCCGTATGTCTGTGTGTGTGTGCGTGCGTGCGTGTCTGCGTGCCTGCGTGCCTGCGTGCGTGCGTGCGTGCGTGTGTGTGTGTGTGTGTGTGTGTGTGTGTGTGTGTGTGTGAACACGATAACTTGAGTATTGTTATAGCTAGGTTGATGAAATTTTCTATATAAGTATTATATCAAATTTGTAATTCCGTATCAACTTTTCCACCGGAAGTGGAACTTATTCTACTTTCAATTTTTCAAAAGCCTATAACTTGAGTACTTTTTCAGATAGATAAATGAAATTTCACTTGTAAATACAAGATCTAATTCTCCGCCTTCTGTCAAATTGTGAGTAATCTCTGTTGAATTTACTCTATTTCCGAATTCTAAAAAAAAATGCATGTAAATTTATAAAGTACTAACAGAGGCGAAGCGAGGGGGGGGGGGGGTCGCGGATCGCACCGGGTGACACCATTAAGGGGGGGGGTGACACCAAGGCAAAAAAATATAAAAATATATAGAGAAAAATTTGAGGAGGGGGGTGCAAATCGAAAGTTTGAGGGGGGGGTGCAAATCAAAAGTTTGTCCCCGGGAAGGGTCGCTACGCCTGTGGGGGGGGGGGGGGGTGACACCATTAAGTGCCGCACAGGGTGACACCCGACCTCGCTACGCCACTGAGTACTAATAATATTCCGCACTATTATACACATATTCTTTGGCGTTCACTTGGTGAGCAATTCTTTTTTTTTACGAGATTCTATTCTATTATAAAAAGTTTAAGTAATTAAAAATGGATTTAAAATCATGTCTATATTTAGCGTTGCCATCCCCCGTAGTGTTATATAAGAATATTAGTGAAAGTTTAGGGGAGATCACTCCAGGCTTATTTTCTCATTCTAATCATTTTCGTTCGTGAAAGGGTTAATCAGTTGATTGTTATGTTTCCTAGAGTTGTCCATAGTGTCATAAGTTACTACTACCGATGAGGACAGAAAGTTTACTTAACTACTCATGCCCAGGAATTCCCGCATGTATTTTATCAATCTAATTTTTTTGTTTGTTAGAAATATATGGTCGTTGTTATTTATTTAGGTTCATTTTTAGTTGTATTTCATGTGCAATCTTCTTCTTCTTCGTTCTTAATTTTAATATTGGAAGGGATTCCCCTCAACACAATAAAGAATACGTGTCAACTGGTTATGCGCCATATAAGTTGGACTCCGATTTCACCCTGCTTTTCTTTTTGGATTTGCTTTCATAGTCTTTGTCCAACTAAAAACAAACTACAAAGCAGCAGTTGTTTGATTTTGGAGTTGTCTCTCCTAGAAGAGTTGCTGTCCCCAAACAAGTGCATTTTTTTACATCTGCTGTGTGTGTGTGGGGGGGGGGGGGGGGCGCTGTGTAAAAACGTAAAACTTTTTTCATTTAAAAGTTGTTTCTTCTTTTAAATTTCACTAAGTAATAAATGCCTCATATGTCTACTAATATAACCTTATATATGTTTACATTGACTCCTAACATAAGTGTATCGTGAAGCCCACCAATAAAATAAAATATCCAAATTTTATTTCTCCATTTTGTAATTTCTAAGGCAGGTTTCGTGTTGCAAGATACCTTCAATTCTCCTACACCAGAAAGATCCCATGACGGAACATGTGAGAACCATTGAAATGAACCCTGTGTGGGTCCCGAAAAGCCTTTTTTGCCCGCGTCATGACGTTGAGAGAGATAAGAGCTCTCCGGTGACCCGGGCAGCCTTCATGTGACTGGCTGGCATCACACGAGACCACCAAGTTTCCGTCACTGCTCACATGCGCATGCGCGAACAAGTGCATTTTTTAAACCAGATTTGTCATTTCTATTGTGACTTTTAATGTGAAGGCTCCATGAGCTAGGTTTGTCCAGTTAGGTTTGATGAGCCAGGTTTAACTTGTAGGTTTGATGAGCCAGGTTTAACTTGTAGTTTTGAGGAGCCAGGTTTAACTTGTAGGTTTGATGAGCCGGGTTTAACTTGAAGTTTGGTGACATATCACAAGATTAAAGATGAGAGCGACGTTGTTGGCTGTTATTGTTTTTGACGTGCTTTTATTGGGAAATGTGCTGTGCAATCTGCAGTCCGCGTTTCCTTCATCTAAAGGTAAAGTTACATCCATTAACTCAATAAGGTAAAGTTACATCCATTAACTCAATAAGGTAAAGTTACATCCATTAACTCAATAAGGTAAAGTTACATCCATTAACTCAATAAGGTAATGTTACATCCATTCACTCAATAAGGTAAAGTTACATATATTAACTCAATACGGTAAAAGTACATCCATTAACTCAATAAGGTAAAGTTACACCTATTCACTTTTCAAAGTCAATTCACAATCATTTACTCTTAGTTAGCTTTATTCATTTACTCATATATGTCAAGTCACATCCTTTTATAAAAAAAAATTTGCTTGTGGCCAAATGTTATATAAATGTTATATAAAAACTGTGGGATGTGTTTGTAAGCTAAATGTTATATAAAAACAATGCGACTATAAATGTTGTATCTTGCTTTCAGACAACTCCTTCTGCCCCGACGGCTGGGCCCTGGTTGATCTAGGCCCGGACATCACCTGTCTCTACATAAGCAACAGCACCAAGTCCTTCTACGACGCCAACTCCACCTGCGTCAAGGCCGGGGCTGGGCTGGTCAAGAACATCACACCAAAGAAACACACGGCCATGAGAAGTAAGGAACCGGGTGGTACCGCTGTGGGGGGTAGACCATAGGGTTGGGTTCGATGCTGACCACAGGGTTGGTTCGATGCTGACCACAGGGTTGGGTTCAATGCTGACCACAGGGTTGGGTTCGATGCTGACCACAGGGTTGGGTTCGATGCTGACTTTAGGGTTGGGTTCGATGCTGACCACAGGGTTGGGTTCAATGCTGACCACAGGGTTGGGTTCGATGCTGACCACAGGGTTGGGTTCGATGCTGACCACAGGGTTGGGTTCGATGCTGACCACAGGGTTGGGTTCTATGCTGACCACAGGGTTGGGTTCGATGCTGACTTTAGGGTTGGGTTCGATGCTGACCACAGGGTTGGGTTCGATGCTGACCACAGGGTTGGGTTCGATGCTGACTTTAGTGTTGGGCCCCACACTGCCAGATTTCAGCTGGTTAAATAATACCGTAATCAAATTAAGAAACTCTGTACAGACTATTTGATAAGTTTAGTAAAGGGTCATCCATAAATGACGTCACGCTTTTTTGACGATTTTTACTCCCCCCTCTCCCTCCGTCACACGTCGTCATAAAAGCCAGACCCCCCTAAAATGACGTCACACCCAGAGGCGTAGCGAGGGGGGGGGGGCGGGTGGACATATGTCCCCGGGCGCCGACCTTAGGGGGGGGGGGTGCAAATGAAAAGTTCAAAGGGGGGTGCAAATCGAAAGTTTGAGGGGGGTGCAAATGAAAAGTTCAGCCTACAACCCCCCTCAATATTGCAGTTGAATTTTTCTTAAAACATCGATATTTTTCCAAAATCTTGTCTGAACTCTGTCTATATAATATATAGAGTATTTAAATCAATTCCTATTACAATTTATTAAAACAGTTTTCTAAAACCCGAAATACCGTCTAAAATTAGTTTTCTAACATGGCTTTTATATATTGCAAAAATATGACGTCGCACCATCTGAACCCCCCCCCCCCCCCTTCCCCTCGTCACACACCGTCACAAAGTTACGGACAACCCCTCCCCCCTCCCCCTAAGAGTGTGACGTTATTTATGGACGACCCCTAATGAAATTAAGAAACTCTGTACACACTATTTGATAAGTTTAGTAATGACGATTAGTTAATAGTTTAAATTGAAGCAGTATTATGAAAAAAATAATGTTTAAACTATATAATTTCGTACTATTTTTTTTTCAAACCGAACGAAAACTCTAGTCGCCCATTACACGTAATGTTTAAGTCGGATAAAAAACATACAATTCTGAATGTTTGTTTGAAGACAATAAATGTAACTCGGATTGTTTAACTTGGGTAGGACGAATAAACAGGAGAAACACGAAATGGTTCTGTTCATTTAATTGTGTAGTTTGTCTCACAACTGTAGAAAACGTGTAACTTGCGTGATTGAAATCTATGTTTTAAACGAGTGCTTGTAATCATTTCTCCGACTCTATTTCCTGAGATGGGTTCTAGAATGTGGTATGTAAAAATATTGTTCCACAATAATTTCCGGGCGCGGATTCTAAAATATATTCCCGTACATTGTCCTAGTACAATTCCGTTTTACTTTATAGAATGTGTAACACATTTTCCCTTTACGATCCCAGACTTACTTTATAGAATGTGTAACACATTTTCCCTTTACAATTCCAGACTTACGTTATAGAATGTGTAACACATTTTCCCTTTACAATTCCAGACATACGTTATAGAATGTGTAACACATTCCCCTTAAATATCTAGACAAACGTTCAGAGGCGGAACTAGAAAAAAAAGGGCCACCCCGCAAAAAAAAATTTCTGGGCCCCCCTCCGACATAATTATATATATATATATATATATATATATATATATATATATATATATATATATATATATATATATATATATATATATATATATATATATATACAGAATACAAACATTGGATACTCATTTCTGGCCTTATCGGGTTTTGAAAAAAAACCTCTTTTTTTTCTCAATTTAAACAAATTACAATATGTCATGTGTGTGAATGCATATTTTAATTTTTTCTTTTTTTTTTTTTTTTTTATGTTTTTTTTTTTTTGAGCGGTCAAAAAAATATATAAAAAGTGAAAGCTTTGTATGTGTAATGGTTTCTCGTGTTATGTTTATTTTTATAATATTTTTATGTATTTATATTATTTGTTTTAAATATATTCCTTTTTTATGCTGTGTCAGTCTTTATTTTGTATATTTTTTTTAAATAATAATTAAGATAAGGAATTGCTTTTTAATTTGTTTAGTACAAATCTATTAAAAGGAGCTTATGGGCACCCCTATTTAACTTTTTTAAAAAGGGAAATAAGTCATGGAAGTGTTTTGAACGTTTGCCTATCTTTCACACTACAGCTCATGCATATATTTTTTTTACGCAACAGCATGTGTTAGCTACTGTATAACATCACAACTGTAGTAGATCTGTTTGTTATTTACAAAAGCTTTTACCGTCAAGTCAAAAATGTAAGAACTTTTTTTTAACAATAAAAAAATTATTATGGTCGGCTATGGTCCCCTAAATGGCGTGGGCCCTCCCAACCCCCCCCCCCCCCCCGTCTGGCGGCACTGTAGTTCCGCCCCTGCATACCTTATAGAATTTGTAACAAATGTTCACTTGAAATTCCAGACGTGGGCTCTAAACGGTCCCAAGATTTCTGGGTCGGACTCCACAAAGAACGGGGCTACGACAAGATCTTCAAGTGGGTTGGCACAGTAGGCGACGGCAGAGTAAGTTGGTTACTGCAGTAACTGTGAATTGTGTTTCGGTTACTTTAGTAATTGTGCGATGGGCGTTGGATACTTCAGAAATTGTGTGATGTGTGTGTGAAGTAATTGTGTACTTTATTGGTTACTGCAGCTACTTTGTTGTGTGTGTGTGTGTGTGTGTGTTGGTTACAGAAGTAATTGTGTTATGAGTGTGTTGATTACAGAAGTAATTGTGTTATGAGTGTGTTGATTACAGAAGTAATTGTGTTATGAGTGTGTTGATTACAGAAGTAATTGTGCTATGAGTGTGTTGATTACAGAAGTAATTGTGTTATGAGTGTGTTGATTACAGAAGTAATTGTGTTATGAGTGTGTTGATTACAGAAGTAATTGTGTTATGAGTGTGTTGATTACAGAAGTAATTGTGCTATGAGTGTGTTGATTACAGAAGTAATTGTATTATGACTGTGTTGATTACAGAAGTAATTGTGTTATGAGTGTGTTGATTACAGAAGTAATTGTGTTATGAATGTGTTGATTACAGAAGTAATTGTGTTATGAGTGTGTTGATTACAGAAGTAATTGTGTTATGAATGTGTTGATTACAGAAGTAATTGTGTTATGAATGTGTTGATTACAGAAGTAATTGTGTTATGAATGTGTTGATTACAGAAGTAATTGTGTTATGAATGTGTTGATTACAGAAGTAATTGTGTTATGAATGTGTTGATTACAGAAGTAATTGTGTTATGAATGTGTTGATTACAGAAGTAATTGTGTTAAGAATGTGTTGATTACTGCAGCAGCTTTTTAAAGAGAGTGTTGATTTAAAGTTACTGGTGATGTATTTTTTTTAAATTAACTGCCATTTTGAGTAGCTTCTCGCTAAATGCAGATACTGTACATCTAACTAAACATAAAGAAAACCAACATACGTTATTAATTTGTATCCGAGAAGAAGTTCTCTAGCACTATCAAACGACTCGACGAAGTTTAAATGGACGATTAAATTGCTCAAACGTATTCTAAGGGGTCATCCATTATGACGTCACGCATTTTGTACGATTTCTACCTCCCCCTCCCCTCCGTCACACGTCGTCACAAAAAGCCAGACCCCCCCCCCCCTAAAATACGTCACACCTCAGCCTACAACTCCTCTCAAAATTGCTGTTGAATTTTTTCTTAAAACCGATATTTTTCTAAAATCTTGTCTGAACTCGGTCAAAATATAGTATTTTAATCAATACCTATTACAAATTAAAACAGTTTTCTGAAACGTGAAATAACGTCTAAAATTCGATTCCTAACATTGCTTTTTTATAATGCAAAAGTGTGACGTCGCACCATCAGAACCCTTCCCCCCTTCCCCTCATCACACACCGTCACAAAATTACGGACCCCCCTCCCCCCTACGAGTGTGGCGTCTTTTATGGACGACCCCTAAATACAAAACTAGCCCAATGCCACTACTGAGCTTTATTTAAGCGGGATATACAATTGACCAGAATGTTTCTTGAACCAGGCGGAGTTCTTCAGTCTGCCCAACACTGCACGTGAGTATGTCAGCTTCAAGGAACAGTGCGGCTATTTCTCGTACGAGCCTGGAGAGTTGGAGTTGGACGAGTGTGAGACAGAGAACTACTTCATGTGTGAGAAGCCTTCAGGTGAGTGTGAGAGAAGTGTGGGAGTCAGGTGAGTGTGGGAGACGGGTGAGTGTGTGATTCAGGTGAGTGTGGGAGTCAGGTGAGTGTGGGATTCAGGTGAGTGTGGGATTCAGGTGAGTGTGTGATTCAGAAGAGTGTGGGATTCAGGTGAGTGTGTGATTCAGAAGAGTGTGTGATTCAGGTGAGTGTGGGAATCAGGTGAGTGTGGGAATCAGGTGAGTGTGGGATTCAGGTGAGTGTGGGACTAGAGAATGGAAGCTGGAGTAAATATAATTAAAGGGCAATAGCCCGGCTAAAAAGCGAATCTATAAAAAGAAAACGACAGACAACTGTGTATAAAAAGAAAACGACCTACGACTGTGTATAAAAAGAAAACGCCCAACGACTGTGTATAAAAAAGACTGTCCTTTTGTTTTATACCGCAGAATCGGGTCAGCTTTGTAGAATTTAAATGTATAATTAATTTTAGAATCTTTAACCTGAATGCATTCTTAGATTATATACCGTCTTAAAATGTATTTTCCATGTTATTTCAATTTTTTTCAAATTTCTCAAATTTTTATTCAAAGAATGCAAGGATGGATTTTTTGGCAGCAAGTGCAAACAACAGTGCCACTGTAAGGGGGAGCCGTGTAACAGACGGGAGAGGGAGGAGAACCGGTGCCTGTGGGGCTGTGAGCCTGGCTGGATGGGGGCCATGTGTGATCAAGGTAAGTTTGGGGGGGGGGGGGCATGTGTGATCAAGGTAAGTTTTTTTTTGGGGGGGGGGGGGGCGTGTGTGATCAAGGTAAGTTTTTTTTGGAGGGGGGGGGCGTGTGTGATCAAGGTAAGTTTTTTTTGGAGGGGGGGGTGTGTGATCAAGGTTCGTTTGGGGGGGGGGGGCATGTGTGATCAAGGTAAGTTTAAGTGGGGGGGGGGGGCATGTGTGATGAAAGTAAGTTTGGGGGGGGGCATGTGTGATCAAGGTAAGTTTGGGGGGGGGGGCATGTGTTGCCAAGGTAACAATCTTACATTGGGAGGGGGGTAGCCAAGGTAACAGTCTTACATGAGGGTGTGGCCAAGGTAACAGACTTACATGGGGTGTGTGGCCAAGGTAACAGACTTACATGGGGGTGTGGCCAAGGTAACAGTCTTACATGGGGGTGTGGCCAAGGTAACAGTCTTACATGGGGGGAGGGCATGTGTGACCATGGTAACAGTTTTAGAATCGTCGGTTTTTTCATTGGTAAAGTAATGGGTGCCAGAAATGTAATTGCTTGACCACCGTGATTGTTTTAACGCCGCTGGTTTGTCGTTCAGAAAACGAACGAATGCCAAAGCAAAAAGCACTCCTTAGTGAAAATAAGGATTGGTTGTGAATTTATTTAATTCGCAAATATTTTGTTAATTTTTTTTTCAATATGTTTGCAACCTAATGTATTTTTCTTTCTTCAAAAAGTGAAACAAGAACCTGAGGTGAAATACTACTGCATTGATCCACCAAATAAAGGGAAATACGTCTATATCAGGATCTACACAAAAGGAGTTGTTTACAAGTATAATATTTTCTCTCAGTAATTTAGTAAACCTATTTCCTGTACAGTATCAGATCTACATATCTTAAATAGTATACATCTCAGTAATTAAATAAACACCAATTTTAAAGATTATTTATTAGGAAAATAGTTAGCCGCCACAGAAATCAACATACCGTTTAACTTTAAGAATTGCATGTAAATAAAAGGCTTTTTTTAATAATATTTTTGTCTCCGACGTTTTATTATTTCTGATGGTGTCTTTGAAGACTAGAGCCCTTTGATTTATTATCAACACCTTGCAGAATCACAAACACTCAAAACTTAATTCTAATAACAGCCCTAGTTGCAAACTTTATCACTTAATTCATTGCCAAAACTGATTATTCCTAATCTTAAATGTATGCAATGCTTTTTTCAAGCACATCTAACCCCCAGAGGCGTAGCGACCCTTCCCGGCGCCCGGGGACAAACTTTCGATTTCCACCCCCCTCGAACTTTTCATTTGCACCCTCCTCCTCAAACTTTCGATTTGCACCCCCACTCGAACTTTTCATTTGCACCCCCTCCCCTCAAACTTTCAATTTGGCGCCCCCCCCCCTAAGGTCGGCGCTCGGGGACATATGTCCCCCCCGCCGCCCCCCTCGCTACGCCTCTGCTACCCCCCCCCCCCCTGTACGAAATAGAATGTTTAAAGAAAGTAAATACTTTTACCAATGTCCGCTCTCCCCCTACTCCCCAGAAAATTCAGTCCGCCCCCTCCCCCATCTCCAGAGAAAAAAGTCTGAAAGAAACACTGAATTTATATCTAGCCCTTAAGTAATGGTAGCTCATTTAAAAACCTTTATTCTCAAATTTACTAAAAGTAGTGTTGTGCTACTTCCTTTTTAATCGTGGGAAATGGGTGGCTATTAGCACATTTATTAGTGGGAAATGACTTTCGACATTGTTGCTGGTGGGATGACTGTCGACATTGTTGCTGGTGGGATGACTGTCGACATTGTTGCTGGTGGGATGACTGTCGACATTGTTGCTGGTGGGATGACTGTCGACATTGTTGCTGGTGGGATGACTGTCGACATTGTTGCTGGTGGGATGACTGTCGACATTGTTGCTGGTGGGATGACTGTCGACATTGTTGCTGGTGGGATGACTGTCGACATTGGATGACTGTCGACATTGGATGACTGTCGACATTGGATGACTGTCGACATTGGATGACTGTCGACATTGGATGACTGTCGACATTGGATGACTGTCGACATTGGATGACTGTCGACATTGGATGACTGTCGACATTGGATGACTGTCGACATTGGATGACTGTCGACATTGGATGACTGTCGACATTGGATGACTGTCGACATTGGATGACTGTCGACATTGGATGACTGTCGACATTGGATGACTGTCGACATTGGATGACTGTCGACATTGGATGACTGTCGACATTGGATGACTGTCGACATTGGATGACTGTCGACATTGGATGACTGTCGACATTGGATGACTGTCGACATTGGATGACTGTCGACATTGGATGACTGTCGACATTGGATGACTGTCGACATTGTTGCTGGTAGAAAATGGCTGAATACCGATATATCTTTCCCCAGCTCGATCTACGGCCTTGACAAAAACTATGAAAGGTCAAGCTGGTGCAAGAAGACCCAAATAACCCGGTCAGCTGACCTCTACGTCATCTCCATCCTGCTGGACGACAACACCGTACCACAGATGGATGATGGGAAATGTGCAGGGGAGGTAAAAAGGGTTTTCGATTATTTTTTTTGTCTGATGTCATAAAGTCATGGCATGGAGGAGAGATGGGGGGGGGGGGGGGGTAGAAGATAAATAAAACTTTTCTTTAAACAAGATGTATGTTTGGTTGTAAAGGGGCCCTGCAAATCAAACTTCCTGAGATAAACTACTTAGCGATTCTCAGGCGCGTGAAAGCATCGTTAAATCTAAACGAGTGCACTCTGTTACAACAAAACAACGCTTAGTCTTAGTATCAAAACTTGTCATTTACCAAAATAAGGGTAAAAAACCTTAGTGTTCTTAAAACTCATTAAATTATCACGTGCGATTTTTAGATTGTTTTTTCCGGAGCAGTAATTTTGTTATTTTAAACTACTGCATGTCTGTATTTTTTTGTGTTTATGATCTGGTATTTTGACCCTTGCATCTTAGCGTGTCGACAACACGACGTACGAGTGGACACTGGTCATCCAGGAAAACGAGGGCATCTTGCTGGAGAACGACGTGCAGGTGACCATCCAGTGTAACTTCACGCAGGCCGAGACGATGACCATTGAACAAGACTACAACATTAGCAGGTCAGATCACACGATGAACTGTGGTAGAAAAAGAAACTTTATTGTTGTTAATAAATCTAAGCTCTTTATTGGCTGTTTAGATTTTTAACTTGTTTACCAATTTTAACTCCCTTCAAATGAAATTATTTCGTTCTTTGTAAGTAAATTCGTTTTCGTGGTAATGCATTGATGTTTAATTTTTAAATCTAATTAGTTATTAAATATTATTTATTAGAAATTAAACTAAATATCAAATTCAATGACGTAGGTGGCAGTGTTTCTTCCAGACTTTTTTCTCCGGGGGGGGGGGGGAACTTGAAATCTTCGGGGGGGCGATAAACTTTCTTCGGGGGGGGGGGCGGACACTGTTAAAAGTATATATTTTCTATATAAATTATATAAATTTCATTTCGTTCGGGGAGGGGGGGGGCGGTAAAAAATTTTTGGGGGGGCTTTGCCCCCCCCCCCCCGAAGAGGTGCCTGGAAGAAACTCTGGTAGGTGGCGAGGAGGGCGCGGGGTAACAGAAATAGGTTTCTGCTAATAGCTATATTTGCGGAGTTTTAACGCCTACAAGCCGACCATGGAATAAAAAAGAGCAGATAATTTTAGTTTAGAGATCGCAAGCTACTGATAAGGAATTATGGCATATATGTTTAGTTGTGTGCGGTGACTTCCTAATTAAGATAAAATGGAACGGGGGAAAATTAAACTATAATATCGACATTTTTTTTTCCATTCCTAATTTCGAAAATATTAAAAATTAATTTATTAAAACAAATATAAAAAAAAAAACATGTATAATAATAAGTTTTTAAATGTATTGAATTTATTAAAAAAAAAACATTGGTTTTTTTTTTTAAATAAATGCGTTGGGTGCTATAATTTGTCTTGAAATACTAATTATACAAAACAATTGTGAAGCAAGAAAAATTAAGTAACATAACGTTGTGTGACGTGTTATGTGAAGTTGTGTGACGTATGTTTGTCTGTCACCAGCTCGGTGGTTGAGATGAAAAAACAGAAGGTGGCACCAGAGACAACGGATGATGACGTCATGCTCCAGGTCGTCGACGCCTACACGGGACTTCCGATAACAGAGGGCGTCATCGGGTCGTCGGTCAAACTTCAGATCAAGTTTGGTTTGTTGACAGGTGAGGGGGGGGGGGGTGGTACCAGGGGGGGGGGGGGGTGGTGATAGTATATGGTGTCACCTAATGGTGTCACCTCATGGTGATATTATATGGTGTCACCTCATGGTGATATTATATGGTGTCACCTCATGGTGATATTATATGGTGTCACCTCATGGTGATAATATATAGTATCACCTCATGGTGATAATATATGGTGTCACCTCATGGTGATAATATATGGTGTCACCTCATGGTGATATTATATGGTGTCACCTCATGGTGATAATATATGGTGTCACCTCATGGTGATATTATATGGTGTCACCTCATGGTGATAATATATGGTGTCACCTCATGGTGATAATATATAGTATCACCTCATGGTGATAATATATCGTGTCACCTTATGGTGATAATATATGGTGTCACCTCATGGTGATATGTATTTTTATTTTTTTTATTATTTTAAGTTGTTTTTTTTTATATTTTTAAATATCTTTTGGTAGAGAAATCTCACTAATCTCACTGTAGAAATCTCACTAATATACAATTGATTGCCCTAAAGTACACGTATTTCAATGTGGTATGTGATTCCTTTAATTTAATCCTCTTATAGATTCCCTGCTTAAAGGTGTCATGGCTTACAACTGTATAGCGCAGTCTTTAGATGGGAAACGTTCGATACATCTCATCAATACAGACGGGTTCGTTAGATTTTTTCTGAGTTTTAAAAATCTAATAGTTACAAGGACAAATTTGTTATTAAAACGATAACCATAGAAAGCATTAGTGAATAGTTGCAATAAAAGGTAGATAACTCCTACGTCAAATGCTTTTTTATTTATTCTCATGGTTATCTCTCTTTGACCAATAATTTTCTTGTAAACAATTTGTTTTTTTCCAACACAGAAAGAAATTGTAGATTTTATTTCCGATTAAAGTATACTAACTTGTATGTGAGTTTTTTTAATGATATTCTTTTAACCTTTAAGGTGTGCAGAGCAGAACTCGCCCGTGTCTGTGTTTATGAAGCAGGACACGCACACGATCGCTACCCAGTGGTTTCCCTTGTTCACGTTTGAAGGCTCTAACGACGTCCTATTCCAGTGTCTGTTTGACTTCTGTTTTGACGACAGCTGCAATGTGGTGAGTGGCCTGTGTTAATGATTTTAATACAAATTTTAAAATCCCGTCCATTTACAGGACAAACTAGGTCAAGGTTGACTTGTAGGCCCAATGGTTGGCCTCAGAAATAATTAGCCAATCATTGGTAGCAAAAATATATTTTTCTATTCGTGAAGAATACAATGATGAGAAATAATTTTCAGTGCGTACAAAAAAAAAGAATAATATCAACACCAGCCTGGTTTTTTAGCATGGCATTTAATTAATTGCAGTTCTTGAACTGCTTGCATGGTATGTAATTGCTGTAAAACAACCGATGTTGTTTTAAATTTTGCATTTTAAATATTTGATTTCTTTTATTTGAAATGGTTTTTGTAAACCAAAATATATTTCTTTAATGTGAAAGTAGAGAAGGTTGGGCATAGTGCTGATCACATTATTCCTTCACATGCCGAGGGTATTAAAATGGGTGAACTCTACTTCACCTGCTACGTGGAATTTCACGCTCGAATGCGTATTTTTTAAAATAAACTGGTGACCCTGGTTTATTTTAATATCAACTGATGGGGAAAAAAAGACTCGGACTTTACCCACAAAAAACTTTTTTTTTATTATGTGCTGAACTGCTTATTTATTGATCATTTGGCTTTCTTCTCGCTATATGACAGGGCTATAGAAGACCGTTGTATCTAAATTTGATTTTTTTCTCGCTATACGACAGGGCTATAGAAGAACTTTGTATCTAAATTTGATTTTTTCTCGCTATACGACAGGGCTATAGAAGAACTTTGTATCTAAGCTTGTTTTTCTCACTATACGACAGGGCTGTAGAGAACCTACCCGACACCGTCGTGACGCGGCCAGTGGCGAGAGAACAGCTGAACACGCCACCAGCAAGACCATCAGGGTCCTGCCCAGTGTGCACTCACACAATACTGCAGGTAGGTGTTAGTGTACTCACACGGCAGGTAGGTCTCTGTACTCACACGACAGTAATGTCCAGAGTTTCTTTCAGGATTCCCTTCAGAGAGGGCTCAGCCCCCCACCCCCAAGAAAGCTTACCACCACCCCCCCCCTTCCAACAAAATGAAATTTATATAGAAACTACATATATTTAACAGTGTCCGCACCCCCCCCCCCCCCCCGCCCGGAGAAAAAATTCTGGAAGAAACACTGGGTAGGTCCTGGTACTCACTCTTAACCTGCTATCCACACTACAAGTCACGTGGGTGGCAACATACTCTCTAATATTTTACTAGACTGCTAGAACTGCCAGAATTTATAGATCTAGACCTAGTTTGTGTTCAGGAAACAAAGTAAAGATAAGTGAGTGTGCTAGTTTTAAAACAGCTGATTACAAATGGTTAAATAAACCGGGAGTGATCTCCCCTAAACTTTCTCGAATATTCTTATATAAAATAACAGGGGATGGGAACTCGGGCTATAGACTTCTAGACATGATTTTTAATCCATTTTAAATACTTAAAGTTTTAAAAATAGAATAAAATCTCGTAGACAAATTAATTGCACACCATGTGAACGCGAATAAAAAAGCGCATAATAGTGCGCAATATTATTAGTACTTTTAAAATTTACATTAATTTTTTGAGAAATCGGAAGTAGCGTAAATAAGTACTTCCGGTCAACGAAAAATTCTCAAAATTTGACAGAAGGTAGAGAATTAGATCTTTTACTTACATATCAAATTTCATTTATCTATCTGAAATAGTACTCAAGTTATAGGCTTTTGAAAAATTCAAAGTAGAAAAAGTACCACTTCCGGTTATCCGAAATCGCTCAAAAGTTGATACGGATCTACGATTTTGATAAAATACTTGTATATGAAATTTCATCAACCTAGCTGTAACGGTACTCAAGTTATCGTGTTTACACACGGACACACACACACACACACACACACAGACACACAGACATACGGACAAGATTGCAAAATTATGTTTTTCCGTATCAGTGAGATGTAAAACGTCGAGATTTGCAAAAATCTCGATTTTTTTTTTTGCACGATTACAAGACTTTCTCTATACTTCGTATATACGAGAAAGTAAAAACTCGAAGAGTGATTTCCCCAATTTAAAAGCTGTTCTTTACTAATATCTTATACTCGATTATAATCATTGGTGAAAAAAAAATACAATAATTAAATAGGTTTTAAAGAATTTTTTTTAAAAAATGCTAAATTTAAGGCATAGTTTACTTTATAAATGTATGTTTCGAGCATGGTCTTTAAATTACGTGACTCAACAAACCAACCAAATCACGTGACTCAACAAACCAATCAAATCGCGTGACTCAACAAACCAACCAAATCACGTGACTCAACAAACCAACCAAATCACGTGACTCAACAAACCAACCAAATCGCGTGACTCAACAACCCAATCAAATCGCGTGACTCAACAAACCAACCAAATCACGTGACTCAACAAACCAACCAAATCACGTGACTCAACAAACCAACCAAATCACGTGACTCAACAAACCAATCAAATTACTTCTCTCAGATCACAAGCCTGCCGCCAGCGTGGACTCGAACCAGCACAAACAGCACCACATGCCGGGCGAGCACCACTGGAGCTACCTGATGTACATCAACCCCGTGACCTGCGGCCTCTTCCTCCTCCTCCTCCTCATCTTCCTCATCATGTATGTCTCCTTCCTCCACACCCTCCGCAAGTCTGTAGAGAACGTGAGGCGGGAGATAGAGGGGAGTCGGTCACGTGATAAGTTCCTCAACTGCGGCTGCAGGAAGCCACTCAAAGACAAAGATTACGTCTGTCCTTAGTCAAATCTTTAAACTTTCAGTTTCATCAAATTTTTAGTTTTTAAATCTTATCAATGTTTTTATTTTTATTTTTATTTGAAGACATATATATATATATATATATATATATATATATATATATATATATATATATATATATATATATATATATATATATATATATATATATATATATATATATATGTCTTTTACATACCTTGAATCACATTTGTACATTCATTTTTATCATACATATGCTAACAAATATTTCAAGCCAGTAAAAATAACAAAAAGTTAAGTTCTAGTAGTATTTGTTTTGTTTAAAATGCCTTCTCTAAATTTACGGTAAAGTGGTTATTACCAGTTTAATTGAAAGAGGAGTAGGATATCGTCCATGAATGAGGTGAGTTAGTTGATTGTGTTGAGTGCCCCCAACCCCCTAAATCTCCCAACCCTCATCAACCCCCTCAACACTGTTAAAAGTCGTCAAAATAGATATTAATAGATATAATAGTATTAATATTTACGCCATCTCCTCCTTATGAAACCCAAAATTATCAATATTTGAATTATTTATTTTGGACATTTTTTTTTTCAAGAAATGCAAATTATTTTTTCAAACCCCTGACCAGTTATAAAAAAAAAATTTAGACCATCCTCCCCTTCAACCTACCCACACACACACACACCACTTTGCTTGACGCCAAATTAAATATTTTCTTTAAGACTCAGAAATGTTGTTTTTTTTCTATGACAGAAGGCGGGTGTATCTAGAACATGCTTGTAACTTTCACCTTCTCAAGTCCATTCACTTTTAGAAATGTTTTACTGTAGATGTTTCAAGCTTACAGCTCATGTAAACCGGCCATACACGCACGCCGATTACACTGTTTTAATTATGTTTTTATCAATCGTTTTAATCTGTTAAATAAACATGTACATTTATACTCATTTGTTGTGATTACTCTTTTTACTTGAAAACAGTGAGTGATTTATTTTCTGTGGTTTTTTTTTCTTAGTGCTAATTGGCAATCGTTTGGTCGCGATCGCTAAACAAGAGTTATCTGCCCTTTCTTAACGCCCGTAGAAACCAGCAGACCGTGACAACTAGTTCACCGATGTAATGAGGCTGATTGAGTAATCGCTTGAGATAAATACTGTCACGGGACTGGCTGGGTACCCTCACATCCCCCCCCCCCCCACGCTAAGAATAACATCTGGTCCTGTATTATATAAATTTTTCCTAAGAAAAAAAAAGTGAAAGACCTTCCTCAACATCTATTCTATGATGGTTTTGAGCAAAACGCCAAATTTAAGGCCCAAACTGGTTTTGGGCAGCCATTATGGCCAATATCATGAGATATTGTGTTTGCCAATAGTGTCTGACCTGAACAGGGTAAAAAACTTGAATCGGAAACATGGAGCAGGAGAGATCAAATTAAAGCCAGCGTTAATTGTCTCTAAAGATATGGAAAATTATAACTTTTTTAAAACAATTGTTAAAACATACACTTTTGAAATTGTTAAAACAATTGCTAAAACATACACTTTTGGAATTGTTAAAACAGCACAGAATATTGGTATACTTGGTTCTCATAAACTAAATAGTGCTTTTTTAACGTCCAAAGTACATTCAAATATAAACAATCATAACTTGTGTCTAAAAAAACGTGTTAACATAGAACATATATTACAACAAATTTAATTTCAATTGAAAGACATATGTAAATAATAAATACATAACATACATGTTTACAGTTTAAAAAAATAACACCCTTAGGATTATAATACTAGAAGATGATAACGTTTTTATAGTAATTTATAGATACTACATTTTCTACAGTTCAGATAAGTAATTTTTGTTAATTCGATAATAATAAACTTTAAACAATAAACGTCCCTTTAGTAAAGTTAAAAATCCATCTTTTGGTATTTTTAAAAATAAAGTAGAATGTACAACAAAAATGGCCTTTCTACATGTAAATCAGTTCATGATTCAGCTGATCTCAATCTTGTTGATGGTGTATATCAGGGGTCTCCAAACTACGGCCCTCGGAGATCTTTTAGTCCACGGAAAAAAAAAGTTTGTTGTAGGTGGCTGAGGAAAAATGCCACCCCAATAAGATGCCTGGAAGAAACTCTGGCCCCCGAACTAATATTTGTTAGTTAATGCGGCCCTCGGGCTGAAAAGTTTGGAGACCCCTGGTGTATATAAACAGTATTCACACATAGTATGTAACATGCTACAACTTTCATACTAGCAGTTGTTGTTTACATTAGCTTACATAAACTTAACATAAATTGACATAAAGTTAAAGGAAACAAATAACTTAACAACATAAATTAAACCTCTATTCACAAGATCATTTTATTTATGTTGTTTTAATGGAAAAAAATCAATAATTAGAGAATAAGTAACAAAATCAAATCAAATAGTAAAAGCCCAAGAGTTGTGAGTTTTGAGTAAAAACTTTTTTTTTTAAAACAACATGGGTTATAGTGCAGCAAATATTTGCTGACAGTGAGTAATCTGTAGGTTAAAAAACTTCAGTTAGAACATCTATTTTATGCCTGGAATTTTCGATACAAAATAAATTGGTCCATCGAAAGCTTTTGTAATAGTTCTGATAATATTGCAATTATAAACAATATTAAAGTGTAGACGGTGCTGATATTATTCAAATTGTTTTAAAATATTTTTTAAAATGTTAACTGGTGTTAAATATTTAATTTGTGTGAACAAGTCATGAGCTAAAAAAGCTATCTAACCGCTTTAATAGTTGGTCTAATTAAACAAAGTTAATTAACATTATACTTGGGACACAAGATCCTGATTTTTTACATTAGCTGGCTTTGGTTCATCAACAATTATCTCTGCAACAGTATGGTTAACTTCAGCAGATTTGTCGTCATGTGGCTGGAGATCATGACAGATGGAGCTGTAGAGAACAAACCGGTCACAAGGCAAACACATCTTGATGTTTTTTGTGGGGTGAAAAAACCAGTAATACAACAACTGAAAGACAACATGAAACACGAACAGGATCAGAACTACGATCAGGCCCCATTGATGAAGCCAACCACCTACGTCTTTGGTGAATTTAAACCATAGAGCCAGCATAAGAAAGTTCTCAACATAGACACTAAAATAAAACAAAATGACACGGAATCTTGTCTGGCCATCTCGTAGGTTGAGAAAACAGAAGACCATGACGTAGCCGCAGATGATATTGAAGACTTTTTCCAGACAGACATTTTTGTAGAATGTCGTATTCTGTACAACCAGCCAGCTGGACATCAAAACCCAGTGAAAAATTAGTGGTCCAAACACCCAAAGGTCAAAAGCTGAGGCGAACATGGCGATACACAGCACACGACCTCCAATCTCGCTGGCTCTCCATATGAAATAAAAAGGGAGACTGATGATGCTCATCTTAGCTTTTTCATCATTTGAGCTTCGTAGAGACCTCTGATATGATGTGTGTGATACAGCCAAGCTTCCCCATGAAGACAGCAGGACTATAGCTCGACCTGATGCTTAAATTTAAAAATAAATTACTTAGTTTATAGGTAATATTATTGTTACATTAATCTCATTTATTAAGCCTTGTAAAATGGTTTATTGCAGTTGAAGTTTGTAGTTTATTTACTTCAGTTCTAGCAATTCGATTTTTTAAAACTACACAGTAAATTGAGTAAAGGATATTTGAGCTAAAATTCGTACACCATGAACACAACTTTTACCTAATGGTGACAAAAAAATTAACTGGAAAACACAATTTTTAGCTCAAGAAAATAATTTTATTTAGAAGGCTTTCTTTAGTGACTGGAATTGAATAACTAAAAGGGAGCTTAGGCAGGTTGAAAAATGTAAGTCTGATCGGAAATGAAGTTTTTTTTTCTATACCTCGGGCAATTAATTTTAAAGATTATCCAAGTGTGGCTAATTATTCCCTAATAAACCAGAGATTGCCTACAGAAAATGTAGATTGACTTACATCCAACAATATCACCTTGTTGTATGAGTTCATTAGCAATATACAGTTGCAAAATTAACTGGGGTGCTGATTCCAAGAAGCTTTCAAATAGCCCAAGCAGGCAGCTATCAACATCCTCATACATCATCAATCTCTGGAATCTTTTACGCTCTCTGGTAGATAACTTTTTATTTTGACTGTTATAACCATAGTACAGATACTCAACATTTCTTGGGGAAAAAATTGTCAGATTGTTAAGGAAAATTGGCATTTTTCTGTTTAGCATAACACAAAGTAATGACCAGCACAAACTGACTATGGAAAATCTATATGTTTCTCTGCTTTAAATGCCGTAACTAATGTTTAATAATGGAGAAAAAATGAAAATAAAATATAACTACCAATATTGAAGCGCTTTACTTCGAAAAATTAGAATGAGTATAAATTCTAAATCAATTTACCTGACAATCGGTCCACACATCAGCAACGTAAAAAGAATACGCAGAAACCACACATATCCTGGTACAGTATACGCCTTTCTATTCTCCTTTTTAAATTTTTGTTCTTTCTTGTAATCAATCAGATACCAGTGGAGCCCAAGGAAACATATAATCAAGGAAGGAATCACAATTAAAGCTGTTGTCGCGGCCCCGTAATTCCATAACCCCTCCCTAAAGTATCTTGCTGCTAAATTTATATCTGTTCCTATATCAAAACAAAATATAGTGATGGATATCACACCCGTTAAAATATTATACCAGTTAAATGTAACGGTTTCTTCAGATTTGTCGTTTTGTGTATTTTTGATTAAGAAATTATGTTCATGCTTTTTTACTTCACTTTTGTTTCTAGGGGGATCTACAGATCTTCTGGCCAAAGCTACATCGGGTCTGTCTTTCAAGCCACGAGATGTTTCAACTTCATCATGGTCAGTGTCAGGAAAAGACTCACGTTTGCTTGCAGAGCTCGTAGTTGTTTGATCTTCCTCATTGCCATATGGTACAAGAGCTGAAGCAGCACTACTTTGGTTATCCAATTGAGCATCGTCACCAGAATCACCAAATCCATTTTTATTTTTACCAAAATTGTTGGTAGCTTTGAGTAATTTGTGAGTAGTACCATTTTGGCCAGAGAAATTTGAAACAGCATGATTATTTTTATCAATGATGTTTTTACTTTCGTCGTTCTCTTCATCAGAACCATTGTCACTAAAGTCAACGCCAGCATCCTCTAAGATGTAAATATCGAAGTTTTGGTCATTGGTTGCATGGCGTCTTGAAAAAACAGTTTTGGGCTGTGAACAGCGGCACATATATGATGAACTAGCTCCAGATCTGGACATTTTGCATTAACAATATAAAACAATATTCCGACACATAATGAACTCATCGAGTCATTAGCATCAAACACTGAAATACAGAAATATATATGAATCAGTACTGTGTATGATCATTGTACCTATAAAAAAGGCGCACTGGGGTTTACTATGACATCAGCAATATGTATAAGTTTTAATGTAGGTCAAATTAGTGTATACATCAAAATGTCCTTAATCGGCTACTAGTCCTAGGTGTATATATTTTACCTCGCGTTAGTTGTTTGCGGTTTGAAAATGTAAAAGATAGTTAACTTTGGTGGGAACTTTGTGTGTTTGTTGAATGCCTGACCGACAAAAGCGAATGGTTATCGATTAATCAAATAGTTTTGTACACATTAGCTCAGCGACTGTGGTTAGAACTAGACTAGTATTACATGAAATGTGTACCACGCCAGTTTGTTGCTGAACTGTGTCAGATATATGCGTGACTTTGCTCATAACGGGCATGAAATTGTGTTTTAACTACGTGTTATAATTCATATAAACAAACACTTTATGAATGTTCCAGTTCTAGTTTTTTCAACCTGAATAACTAAACACACATCACGTGTGTAAATATAAAATGATTACTGTGATAGTTGATGTCTTGAGCATGTCGCTGAATGGCATCCACATATATAAGGTCATGTCATTATGGCGGTGAAATATTAAGCCTATTGGAAGATATGAAAAAACAAGGTTACATAATACATTTTTCAGGGGAGGCTCAATTCAAAAGGGAGTTAAATACGTGTAGAATCAGTAGCGCATAACAATTACAAAACAGGCGTTCAGGTAAACTGACCAGAAACAATGAGAAAGTTGGAGAAACCGAAAGAGTAATAGTATTGGATGTGGAATCAAAATTTAAAAATCTCAAGGAGGCTTGACAAACAAAATGGAAGAAGTGATGAAAATGGGAGCTCAATACATCACGGACCTGATAAACAAATCGATTGTAATGACGTTAATGAGCAACCGATCATTAGAAACTACAGTTTACCATTGGAAGACACAATTAAAGAAAATAAAAATCTAAAGATGATGTACACAATTGGAGAGATATAAATTATCAGCTTTATTATACAAGAATTTACAATGAATACGTTATGGAACAAAGCTTTTCAAAAGAATCAAATATGCTAATTCAACTAAGTGTTTTTATTGCAGTAAAGGAGTCCATGCATATCATATAAGACTTGCGAATCAAATGAGAAATAATATCAACAGAGTCACGTATGGTAAAAACAAAGATTTCAAAGATTTCATGAGGCGTGTATTACTAGGCGGTATTACAGTAATGAACAAAGAAATCACTGTGTCTGGTATCAAATAATGATTTTGTGAATCAATTAAATAGTGATAACATAATCGTTACAATGGTTGATACACCAAGTAAACAAACAGTACGGAAAGACAGACTGAGATCAAGAACTCAATAAGAGAAACATGATATGAATAAAGAAGGAAAACAACGTTAAACTTGAAGAAAGAACCCACTGCAGTAGCGGTATCAAAATAATTGAACATAAACTGGTATATGAGAATTACTTCACAATGAAAAATAGAGGCAATCAGCAACATATAGTACACGGAGATATGACAAGTCAGCAACTATCAAAGCGGTAATACAAACATAATGTCAGAAGAACTTCATTGTTTATATAAATTTTGAAAGTATCTTACTAATAAAACTTAACAAACCTGAACAAAAGTTAACACACCTGAAGAATATTCATATCAAGGTGTTGTTCATGTAAACCACAATAAATTAAGGACTTGAAGAATAATAATATATAGAAGCATGAAGTCGCTCAGATCGTTCAAATAACGTACTTGTAGCCTGCCTAATGCAGGAATGTTATGCCGTGTTGCGACACATTTTCAACCTAAGTAGGTCAGTTAGCCAGACTGGGAAAAGTTACTCAACCATGAAAAAAGAATTCCTTACCGGTTGTGTAAGCAGGGGTGGGGGTGGGGTTTGGGGGCTGGTTCTTTAGGTTGTCTGTGTAAGAATATAAATACGAGTCAAAATGGTTAACACGTACATGTTTTCTTCAAACATCACATTACACAAAGACAAATTTAATTATTTATAAACGTGTACAAATACTCGGTAATGATAAACTGATAATACTGAAACGTATATATATATATATATATATATATATATATATATATATATATATATATATATATATATATATATATATATATATATATATATATATATATATATATATATATATATATATATATATATATACTAGCTTTATACCTGAGCTCCACTACGGTGAAACTTTTTTAAATGTACCAACTTGGGAACAGAATAAAACTAAACACAAACCCACAAAAACACAATCTCTAACACAAACACAACGCAAACACAACCTCAAACACACTTCAAACAAAAACACAAAAAAAAACGCAAACACAAACACAACGCAAACACAATTACAAACACAAAGCAAATACAAACCAAGCCGCGAAAATAAAAACATTAACAAAAACACAAACCTAAGCGCAAACAATAACGCATAACATAAACACAAACTTAAATGCAAACATAAACGCATAGTGTTCACAGTCTAAATTGCACCCTGCCAGGGCGCCGGCGAAACTGCCTGATACAATTTAGTAAACGTATATAAAACCCCAACATATCCATAGCCTATAACACTGTTTAAAACGAACGCAGGCGCCATAGCGCTCACGGGAAGGTCCCGGCTTATCGAAACCTGCCGGGGCGCCAGTGGGCGCCTGATTCAATTTAGTGAACGACTATAATACCCCGAACTTATCCGCAAACCGAAAGACAGAAGTAAACATAGAGGACATCTAGGAGCGGCTTCTTAACTGTTATTAATTAGAAGTAATAATTAAAATTGTATAAAATAAATAAAAGGCAGTATTTTAAAATATCCGTGTTTTACCTACCCCATTGCATTTTTATCAATCCACGCTAATTATGCAAATTTTTTTTTCAACACCAAAACAAACTAATAAAAAAATATTGTTCCCCCCCGGTTGTTATGTTTTTATAAAGGGAAGTAAAAACATTGTGATGTATCAAGAGAAGTAATTGGCAATAGAGGAACAAAGTGAAGTCATTTGTATACTTTTAAAATTTTTGTGAAGGATGATTCATTCTCTTTGACTTTATTTATTCTACTTGACGTTAATTAAAATGTTAAGTTTAGAAAATGAAACCAAGATCAAATTGTAGTATCTGTTATCGATCTACGCGGATTTGGTTAGTCGGCCTTATTTAGGGTCGATTGATGGAGGAGGTCAGATCAACTCATCAAGGCATCGAATGCAAACCAAGACCGCTGTGGGGTTGCCTCCATACATCCCTCGAACGCTCTAAGCCCTCGAGAAGAGCCATCAGGGACGGAATAAGCTTAAGCGAGGCCCCGGGCTGAAACTTTTGGGCAATTATTATGGCCAATATATGCTGCAGTTTTTATGTTTGTAAATATTGTTTGACCTGAAAAGGGTCAAAAACATTAATTGGAAAAATAGAACAAGAGAGATAAAATTAAAGACTGCTAAAATTGTCTCTGGATGAATCGGAAATTTTATTTTTCAAATGAAAATAAAACAATTGCTAAAACATACATGTTTGAAATTGTTGATTCTTAAAATCTAAACCATACTTTTTAACATCGAAAGTACATTCAAATGAAAAACAATTATAGCTTGTGTCTAAAAACATGTTAGAATAGACCATATATTACAACAATCGTTATTTCAATTGAAAGATTTATGTAAATAATAAATGCATAATATTCACATGTTTACAGTTTTTTAAAAAATACCCTGAGGATTATAAAATTAGTAAATTATAGTAATTTATAGATGCCATACTCTCTACATTTTAGAGATATAATTTCTGTTAATCCGTTGTGAGTACATTTGTAACAATAAACGTCTCTACAGTAAAGTTAATAATTTGATTTTTTTTGTTGTTTAAAAAAAGAACCGTATTTTTTAAAAAATAGCCTTTCTACGTGTAAATCATTTCATGATCCAGCTAGTTCAGCAGATCCCATCTTTTTGCAGGTATATACGAACAGTGTGTACTATTTTTATTTTCTTTTAATGAATAGAAATTCTTACCTGAGAGAAAGAATAGTAAAAATAGAAAATGCACTAAATTATGTAAGTCTATGAGTATAACTTTGAGTATCTTTTTTAAAAATTTGGTTATAGTGCAGAAAATAATGTCTAAATGAGTGAGTGATCTGTGGTTTGAAAATTTCGATAATAAAACATTTATTTTATTTATGCAATTTTTTTTATGGAAACACAATTTGGTCCATTGGCTCATAGAAAGCTTTTGTTTTATCCAAAGGACGTTTGAATTACATTAATTGTTTTCTAATACTAATGATTTTTAAAACATCTTATAATTTTAACATTATAGTATAGACCTTGTTAATTGTTAACACCATGTTTAGAAATATAGCTATTTAAATGTTAACTGGCATTAAATATTCAATTTGTGCCATAAACTGACTTCGGTTCATCAACAATTATCTCTGCAACAGTATGGTTAACTTCAGCAGATTTGTCGTCATGTGGCTGGAGATCATGACAGATGGAGCTGTAGAGAACAAACCGGACACAAGGCAAACACATCTTAATGTTTTTTGTGGGGTGAAAAAACCAGTAATACAACAACTGAAAGACAACATGAAACACGAACAGGATCAGAACTACGATCAGGCCCCATTGATGAAGCCAACCACCTACGTCTTTGGTAAATTTAAACCATAGAGCCAGCATAAGAAAGTTCTCAACATAGACAATAAAATAAAACAAAATGACACGGAATCTTGTCTGGCCTTCTCGTAGGTTGAGAAAACAGAAGACCATGACGTAGCCGCAGATGATATTGAAGACTTTTTCCAGACAGACATTTTTGTAGAATGTCGTCTTCTGTACAACCAGCCAGATGGACATCAAAACCCAGTGAAAAATTAGTGGTCCAAACACCCAAAAGTCAAAAGCTGAGGCGAACATGGCGATATACAGGACACGACCTCCAATCTCACTGGCTCTCCATATGAAATAAAAAGGGAGACTGATGATCCTCATCTTAGCTTTTTCTTCATGGTTGTATCGTAGAGTCTTTTGATATGACGTAAGTGATACAGCCAGGCTTCCCCAGGAAGACAGCAGAGCTAATGCTTAAAGTTGAAAAATAATTAAGTTTTAGTTTATAGATAATGATATTGTTACATAAGTCTCATTTTTAAGCTTTGTAAAATGGTTTATTGCAGTAGTATATTTACTTTAGTTGTAGCATTTAGATTTTTTAAAAGTAAAGTGAGTAAGTATTTTTGATAATTGCAAAACGTCGTACACAATTAACACAACTTTAACGTAATGTTCACAAAACAATTAGCTGGAATACACAATGTTTAGTTCAACAAAACAATTACATTTAGAAGGCTTTCTATAGTGACTGGAATTGAATAACTAAAATGGGAACTCAGGCAGGCTGAAAAATGATCATCAGAACAACTTCCAATGAGAACGAGGCAATCAAAGTTACAGGTTAAGCCAGCTGGTGAGAAAGGCCCTACACATACACCTGTAATCAGTGTCCCAGCCATACACTTGTAATCAGTGTCCCACCCATACACCTGTAATCAGTGTCCCACCCATACACCTGTAATCAGTGTCCCACCCATACACCTGTAATCAGTGTCCCACCCATACACCTGTAATCAGTGTCCCACCCATACACCTGTAATCAGTGTCACCCCCATACAGCTGTAATCAGTGTCACCCCCTTACACCTGTAATCAGTGTCCCACCCTGGCAGGTCTGATGGGAAATGAAAGGAGTTTTTCCTATAGGTACCTCTGGGCAACTTTTTTAAGGATTATCTTAGTGTGGCTGATTATTCCCTAATAAACCAGAGATTGCCTGTAGAAAATGTAGATTGACTTACATCCAACAATATCGCCTTGCTGTATGAGTTCATTAGCAATATACAGTTGCAAAATTAGCTGGGGTGCTGATTCCAAGAAGCTTTCAAATAGCCCAAGCAAGCAGCTATCAACATCCTCATACATCATCAATCTCTGGAATCGTTTACGCTCTCTAGCAGATAACTTTTTATTTTGACTGTTATGACCACAGTACAAATATTCAACAGTTCTGGGGAAAATCGTAAACTTGTTAAAAGAAAATTGGCACTTTTCTGTAAAATACAAGACAGCAAAACGACAACTATTTTAGCTACATGATACACATTTTGTAATAGTAATAGACCTACTGAACGTATTTTAATACAAAAAATTCGATGAGTATAGATTCAAACTCAAATTACCTGACAATTGGTCCACACATCAGCAATGTAAAAAAAATACGCAGAAACCACACATATCTTGGTACAGTATATGCCTTTCTATTCTCCTTTTTAAATTTTTGTTCTTTCTTGTAATCAATCAGATACCAGTGGAGTCCAAGGAAACATGTAATCAAGGAAGGAATCACAATTAAAGCTGTTGTCGCGGCCCCGTCCTTCCATAATCCCGCCTTAAAGTAGTTTGCTGCTAATTCAATATCTGTTCCTATATTAACGCAAAATACAGCGATTGAAGTCATACCCATTAACATATCAAGCCATGTAAATTTAACTGTTTTTTCCGATTTGTCATTTTTGGCATTTTTGGTTTTTGAGAAATGTTCATGCTTTTCTACTTCATTTTTCCTTCTGTGTTGATCTATAGATCCTCTGAACAGACCCAAATCAGGTCTGTCTTTCAAGCTATCACGAGATATAGCCATGTCAACTTCATCTTGGTCAGTGTCAGGAAAAGACTCAAGTTTGCTTGCAGAGCTAGTTGTTGTTCGATCTTCCTCATTGCCATATGGTACAAGAGCTGACGCAGCACTACTTTGGTTATACAATTCAGCATCATCACAAAAATCACCAAATCCATGTTTATTTTTAACAAAATTGTTGTTAGCTCTGAGTAATTTGTGAGTAGTACCATTTTGGCCAGAAAAATTTGAAACAGCATGATTATTTTTATCAATGATGTTTTTATTTTCATCATTCTCTTCATCAGAACCATTGTCACTTACATCATCTTCTAAGATGTAAATATCGAAGTTTTGGTCATTGGTTGCATGGCGTCTTGAAAAAATAGTTTTGGGCTGTGCATAGCGGCACAGATTTGATGAACCAGCTCCAGATTGTGACATTCTGCATCAACAATATAAAACAAAATTTGAAATTTAATTAACTCATTGAGTCGTTAGCATAATATCCTGAAATACAGAAATATATATGGATAAGTACTGAGTGTGATCAATATATCTATAAAGAAAGTATAAAAGACTTACTATGTCTTTAGCAATATATATTTATGTATTTTGAAGTAGGTCAAACTATTACACACTCTAAAATGTCCTTAATTTGGCGATTAGTTCCATATATTTTACTTCGTGTTAAACGTGTTTACTTTCTCGTATATACGAAGTATAGAGAAAGTCTTGTAATCGTGCAAATAAAATCGAGTTTTTGGAAATATCGACGTTTTACAGCTCCCTAAGTCGGAAAAACATAGTTTTGCAATCTTGTCCGTATGTCTCTGTGTGTGTGTGTGTGTGTATGTGTGTCTGTCTGTCTGTGTGTAAACACGATTGCTTGAGTACCATTACAGCTAGGTTGATGAAATTTCATATAAAAAGATTATATCAAAATTGTAGATCCGTATCAACTTTTAAGCGATTTCCGATAACCGGAAGTGGAACTTTTTCTACTTTGTTTTTTTCAAAAGCCTATAACTTGAGTACTATTTCAGATTGATAAATGAAATTTCATTTGTAAGTAAAATATCTAAATCTCTGCCTTCTGTTAAATTTTGAGTAATTTCCGTTGACTGGAAGTATTGATTTTTGCTATTTCCGATTTCTTAAAAAACGCATGTGAATTTATAAAGTACTAATAATATTCCGCACTATTATGCACTTTTTATTTGGCGTTCACTTGGTGTGCAATTCTTTTTTCTACGAGATTTTATTCTATTTTTTTAAATTTTAAGTATTTAAAATTAATTAAAAATAATTTCTATATCCCGAGTTGACATCCCCTGTTGTTTCATTTAAGAATATTCGAGAAAGTTTAGGGGAGATCACTCCCGGTTTATTTTTATTATAAATGTAACACATAGTACTTTATGATAATTAAGCTTGGAGGGAACTTAGTGAGTTAAAAGAACTCCATGACAACGAAGCGAATAGTGTGTAATTAATTAAATTGTTTTGCACACTGTGCAATAATTCAGATTTTGTCGCTATTTAACTTCACATGTAGTCCGGTCAAGGCACGTGATCGCTAACATTATTCGGTTTCTTTGATTTCTTTGCACACTTTGTACACTCCCGTCATCTCCAGTCGCATGGACCCCATCTTATAAGGAACGCAACTAGCATTGTCTCTTGGCGTTCCGCATTGTTGCACGTGAGCGATGATGCTGGCGGCTTTTGACTTGGTTCTTTGATGGTTGTCTCACCTCGTTGACATAGAAGGAGCTATGAAAGACAGTAGTGAGACTATTTCGCAAAATATACGTGTTGATCATTGGTATTTAAGACACTCCCGTAATCTTGTTATCTCCAGTGGCTTGGCCCAGATGGTTCACATTTATAAGAATAGCAACCAGCTTCGTCTTTTCTTTTGAATATTCCGCTTTTTTTATGTCTTATTTCGATGGTTGTCTAGATATGAACCATGTAGTAACACATATTTTGCGATATTAGTATTTTTATGTTTGTCTGTCATGTTTTTTTCGGCCTTTTTGGTTTGTCGGCCTTATAGTCTGTCTGCCTTTTGGCTGTCGGCCTTTTGTCCATGTGGGCCTTTTATCCGGATACCAAATAAACTATGTTTTTTCATTGCAGTAAAGAGGCCATCAATTTTAAATAATTCTGCTCGTAAATACTTGCGAAACAAATTAGAAATAATTTCAACAGAACCAGGTATGGTAGACACAACTATTTAAAAAATTGTATGATGCGTGTAAGACAATACGTAATAATGAAGACAGAAGTCAAGTTGCCTGGTGTGAAAATAGGAACAATTTTGAGAATAAAAGAAATGGTAATAACATAATCGTTAACAAAATAATTGACGTAAAAATGTTAGACTTTTTTCTCTGGGGGGGGGGGGGGGGGGTTGCACTTAAAAGTATATATTTTCTATGTAAATTCCATTTTGTCCGGGGGGAGGGGGGGGGGGTAGACTTTCTACCCCCCCCCCCCCTCCCCTCCCCCCTAAGAGATGCCTAGTAGAAACTCTGGACGAGAATATGATAATTACTACAGAACGAATTATAGAGGCAATGGGCTACATATAGTATATGGAAAAATGGCGTGCAATTCAGTAACTATTAATGCGGTAATACAAACATTATCTACAAAGAAATTGTTTATATAAAACTTTGCGAGTAGCATGCTAATAAATTTCAACACACCTGAACAAAGGTTAACACACATGAAGAATGTTTATAAAATTAAGGACTTGAATAATAATATATAGAAGCATGAAGTCACACAAATCGTTCACAGGGCATTCAAATAATGGTCTTGCTGCTTGTCTTAAGCAGGGATGTTATGCCGCGTTGCGACATATTCAACTTAAGTACTTACTTACTAAGTAGGTTTTGACTTCCTTGAAATCCTGTTATCATTGTTGGAAATCCAACACTATTTATAACCTGGCGGCTATTTGTTTCTGGGTCTCGCTTTTAAAATGATCATAAATTTGCTAAACACAACAAAAGTCTTACATTTTTTAACTTTTTTTTGTCATTATGGCTGAGAACTATCATATCTGCATGCTGTCGGACAAAATTATTTTGCAATATCAATTTTGTTTATTGTTTTTAAATGTAATGCTTTGAGGCTAGGGAAAATTACTATATCCAGGCATCAAGGTTAACGTTAAGGAAAAATCCCCCCCCCCCACATACACACCACTCTCCCTTTAGAAATGGTGTGATCAGGTTTTGCAGGTCCTTTATATGGAGAACAACTAAATCAGTCGCACACAGAGTTTCTTCTAGGCATTTGTTCGGGGGGGGGGGGGGGGTATGGACCCTGAACCCCCCCCCCCCCCCCCCCCCCCCACACCCGAAAATATCAAGTGCCCTCCCGGAGAAAAAAGTCTGGAAGAAACACTGGTCGCACATCTTTGTGGCTACTTTCTTAACGTTGACTGGTTATTAGATCAGTAATTAGATTCAAAATTAACAAGGATACTAACTTTCCTAGGACAAATGTAATTAAATGCGTTATTTTCTTCCTGTAATTTAATCATTGTGGAGAATCCTTACAGCTGTCTTTCGATGGGAAACATTTGATACATCTCATCAATACAGATATATTAGTTTTAATTTGTCTTCTTAGTTTTGAAAATATAATTGTTGCTAGGACCATATGTTATAAGACAAGGGAAGCAACTTAGTGAATGAGTGCAGGAGATGAATGGGAGAGAATGTTGTTTGTACTTTGTACTCTGTGAGTTGTGGTATTCCGGTTCATACGTGTTGGTTTGCGGCAGAGGCGTAGTGAAGGGGGGGGGGGGGGGGGCAGGGGTGTACATATGTCTTCGGGCACCGACCGTAGGGGGCGTCAAAATGGGTTGAAAATAATTAAAAGCTCATTTTAGCCATTTTTGCATTATAAATTTAAAAAATATAGGGGGGGGGGGGGCAAATTGAAAGTTTGTTTCCGGGCGCCGGGAAGGGTCGCTACGCCTCTGGTTTGCGGATATATAAGCTGTGTGAGAACGTATGTGATTGTATCAGTTTAGACCAGTTCTTCCACAGGTTAGTGTAGGTAAGTTCTGTACTGTTTAACAGCCACTGTATCTTAGTCTGTGTAGTTGTAGATAGCATTAAACTCTTTTCTTGCTAACGAGCCTTTGTTTCTTCTTCTTCTTCGTTCTTAATTATTAGTGTTGAAGGGGATCGAGATTTATCTGCCAGTGGGTTTGAACTCGAGACTTTGTTCGAATTTATCCACCATGAGCTTTTTGCCGACTCGACCACGCCTCCAACACAATTAAGCGGTACGTGTCAACTGATTATGCGCCATTGAGGCCATTGACTCCGATTTCAGCCTGCTTTTCTTTTTGGATTTGCTTCCATAGCCTTTGTCCAACCAAGAACAAACTACAAGGCAGAAGATGTTTAATTTTGGAGTTGTCTCTCCTAGAAGAGTGGCTGTCCCCAGATAACGAGCCTCATCTGCCCGAGAGTTCGAACTCGAGACTTTTCGGTTTAGCAACCATGAGCTTTACCGACTTTAGCCTTTGTTTGATTTAGTCTTGTTTTGTAACCCGTTTGGGGTTGTCCATTACGCACTAGTTCACCCGTAATGGCGTAAGTTCACAACATATAATTGGGGGCTGGTCCGGAATTAGATCTAGACCACGGGTTCCCAAACTGGGGGTCGCGATCCCCCCTGAGGGTCGCGAAGGGCTTTCTGAGGGGTCGCCAACTGGAATACTTAACCTTAGTAATGAGAAACAAAACATAAATATTTAGAAGAATATCTGAATTTCGGCTTTACTAACATCACTGGAAATGGAATAGAGAAGAAACAATGCGTACTGTACAAAGTTGTTCTCAGTCACGAGTTTATGAAATCTTCAAAACTAAAACGAGTTCTTTCGTCGGCATGAAGCTAGTTGCAAACGTCTGAGACTTGATCGAACAGGAAGTTTTCACCAAGAAACAGTGGCGTAGGCAGGGGGGGGGGGGGGTTAGGGGGGTCATAACCCCCCCCCCATAGACCCCTCGGTATATAGAAAAAGTATGAGGGGGGGGGGGGTGCAAATCGAAAGTTTGAGGGGGGGGGTGCAAATCGAAAGTTTGAGGGGGGGTGCAAATCGAAAGTTTGAGGGGGGGGGTGCAAATCGAAAGTTTGAGGGGGGGGGTGCAAATCGAAAGTTTGAGGGGGGGGGTGCAAATCGAAAGTTTGAGGGGGGGTGCAAATCGAAAGTTTGAGGGGGGGGGTGCAAATCGAAAGTTTGAGGGG